GTTGCTTCTAATTGCTTCCCCTAAAGCTTAGCCCTCTTTCTGCTACAAGATTTAGTGCATTCTGTGATAAGAGGAGTGGGTCTGTACAAATAATCATCGAGTGTCCCCAACGATGGGACAGCCTTGGATGAGTAGTGAAGGGAGAAAGAATAGAGAAATATTTTTCTCTCTCAAAAATCTTTGCTTATTTTTATTTTATGTGTATGAGTTTTTGCTTACATGTATATCTGTGTATCACACACTTGCTTGGTGCCTACGGAGGCCAGAAGAAGGCATAGGGTCCCCCGGCACTGTAATTAAAGGGGGATGTAAGTCTCCACGAGGGTGCTGGAAAGGGAACCCGGCTTCTGCAAGAGCAGTGAGTGCTCTGGGTCATTGAGTCCCTTTTTGCAGCACCAGCCCTCCTCCCACTTTTTATTTATTTATTCACTTTTGGTTTTTCAGGACAGGGTTTTTCTGTGTAGCCCTGGCTGTCCTGGAACAGCTCTGTTTGGGAGGCAGAGGCAGACAGATCTCTGTGACTTTGACGCCAGCGTGGTCTATAGAGTGAGTTCCAGAACAGCCTCCAAAACAATACAGAGAAACCCTGTCTCGTAAAAAAACAAAAAACAACAACAACAAAAAAAACAACAACAACAAAAAAAAGACATCTTCTGTCTTCCGTTTTTTCCTTCTTCCTTTTGATCTGAATCAGTCTGATTGTGTGTGTGTTTGGTTGTTTCCTAGGGCTAGGTTGTGTACCATTGAAATCCTTGCTGCAACGTTGCCATGGTTCCTAGCTCAGGTTTTAAGATGCTGGTAACTTTAAATGATGAGATGGGGCGGGGCCACAGTTGCTGAAGTGCTTGCACAGCATGCACAAGACCCTTGGTTCAGGCCCTGGCGCCACCGTATACACCGGGCAGGCATAGTGCTGTGTGCTTGTAATCCCAACACTGGGGAGGTGGAAGCTGGAGAACCAAAGGTTAAAGGTCATCCTCAACTACTCGGCAAATTCAGGGCTAGCCTGGGCTACATGAGCTCTTATCTCAGTCGTGGAAAAAATAAATATATAAATAAAATAGTGCTGGGGAAGAGAAAAGGGGGGCAGGTATTTCTCTGGAAAACATGCCCCACATCAGCACGTTTGTGAATGCTCAGCTGTGCCTCTAGCCTCCTCTTGCCTTTCCTTGGGTCCCAGCTGTTCTGTGGCCTCAAACAATCCCATCCCTCAAATTGCCATGGCTGATCTTTGGGGTGATATCTGAGTTTTGAAGAGAAAGCTCTGTGTGAGGGCTGTTTACTTTTGGGGGTGTGGGGCGGGGGTTGGAGCTGGCCTTGCGCTGCTGCCTTCCAGGAAGAAGGAGGGACTCTGCTCTCTTCTGATGAGTCACTGGAAGAGAAACTTCCAATGTTTGCAAACATCATCAGCCAAACCTAGGCTTCTTGGGGCTCTGCCCAGCCTCTGCCAGGGCTCGCCTGGCCCACCTGAGAAGACTTGGGGGTGGGAGTGAGGGGGTCATTGGGGTGAGAGGTTCTGCCTGAGATGGAAAGCAGCCAGGAGACAGGACAGTTGTGTATCTCGGGACTCCAGCAAGTGAGGCACGCCAGAGGACCTTCTACAGGGAGCTGTATCTACAAACCAGGCCCTGCTCTGGGTGGTATGAGAAGGTCAGGGGCAGGAAGTCGGCTTTTGAAGCTGCAAGGCAGCTCAGTTGGTGAGCATCCGCTATGCTCCGAGTTGGATCCCCAGCATCTGAAATCAGGGCCACAAATTACCCCACATTTTCCTTAGAGGCCTGCCCTCTGCAGAGGGTCTCCAGTGACCCTCCAACCCCAAGGTGGATAGATACCCAGACCCATGCTGGAAAGAAGGCAGGGCCTAGGCGAGAAGTTCACAGGAGTCTTCCTCTCTAGGGGAGATGAAGGAGGAACGGTGCTGGAGAGGGTTGGAGCTGACAGCTTGCTGGGATCTGCTGGAGCCAGATGGGACTCATGATGCTCCCAGATGGAACGGATCATGCGTGTCAGACACACTTTTCTCAGGATACACAGTGTTCCCCTCCTTCCCCCTCGCCGAAATGAGGAATCACAAGGTGACTCAGGCAGGCAGCCAGACCCCAGGGATCTGTGGAGAGATTGGGTAGCCAGAGCGGGATCACAATAGACGTCTATGCGTGCTTACCAGTCTGCCAAGCACCCTTTCTGCTATTGTGGGACATCAAGGGAGGGATCCTGTTCTAGGAATTTGTCCATGGCAACCCTATCTGCTGCTTGCTCTGTCTGTCCTTGGGTTTCTGCCAGCCTGAAACTCTACCTGTTCACTGCTGCTACCCCTACTGGGGAGCAGGGCCTTGGCATTAGCAGGTCCCGAGCCTCTAGCCTGCCATGGGGATTCTGTCACATCATTCACTAGTGAGAATGTGTTCCATCACTGATTTTTCGGTTGGTCTAAGAGACTGAGCCCTCTCTGCACTTAGGAATGTCACTGTTTAAGGTCTAAGCACCTTGGGGGAGTTGGTGGGGAAGAATAGGGGAGAGAAATGTTTCCACAAAAAATCAAAGAGCAAGCCGCTGGGAGGAGGGATTGCTGCTGTATTTAAAGTGCATTCCCCTGTCAGGGAGCCACAGCTTTGAAATCTTTCCCACAGTGCTTTGCGAGGCTATATGGCTTTCTGTCTGTCTGTCTGTCTGTCTGTCTTTCCTTTTCTTTCTTCCTGAAGATGGTAATGCTTTGGCTCCTCCCCACCCCCACTCCCGAGAAGCAGCTGCAAAGAAAGGTTTGTTTGATACGTGCTGGCACCTGCTGCATGCTGGGCACTGTGCTAGATGCTGGTGACACCCACGGGGAAGGGCTAAAGGGTCTCAGAGCCAATGCTGATCACACATTTATCTGGTCACTTGTTATTTCTGAAAGATGCCCAATCTTCTGGGGCTTATAATTTGTTGCAAGAAGATAGATGGCTGTGAGTGAGTGATGTGCCTTGTTATTATTCACAGGTGAGTCTGCCCATTTGCTATTCCTTCCGCCCTGAGCCTGATCTTCTTGGCCCTGGATATTCTGTATTATTTATGGCTCCCTTCTCAGAAGGACATGACCACACGCTGACCCTCCTCTTGTTACTCTCACACAGGAACTCATGGCTTGGATGGGCGGAGATGTAGGCTGGCCGCTGAGTTTGTCAGTCTGCACATGGAAATGTGGGTGGGGTTAAAGCACTGGGTGAAAGGAAAGATTGGAGAAAGGGAAGAGGGCAAGTCCTGGGCCTTGGGACACCCAAGATTCAGTTATGTAGAGAGAAGTGCGCAGGGAGAGACTGAAAGAGAGTAGGAGAGAGGCCGAGTTACTGCGGTGGGCTTCCAGAGGCACCAAGTTGCAACACCTAGTACTGTACAGGCAGATCTCTGCGAGTTCCAGGACAGCCAGGGCTAGGGAGACCCTGTCTCAAAAATAAGCAAGTAAGTAAATAAATAAATAAATAAAACCAGTCGTGGCTAGGAACCATGTCTACTACCACCCGAGACAGTCAGGAGAGGGAGGTGACTTTGCTTGAGTAGCCACTGTTAGTCTGGAGTCTGCTCCCAGGAAGTTCCTCCTTCGTAAGCGTCAGCTAAGAGTTGGAGTTTTGCACAGTCAGCCATGATGAGGACACTTGCTGATGCAGGGGTTCGGGTGGGGTGAGGAAGATTCTAGAGAAGATGTTCTGTTAAGTTGTTCACATTTATCAGATTTTAGTTTTTCGGCATGCAGACACAATTAAGGTCACAGAGTGCTAGTGTGTGTTCAGTGACACGAGTTAGGCGACAGTAAACTTGTCTTCACACAAAGGCTGGCAGAATGGAGATTCGGGGCCTGTTATGGGCAAGGACTCTGGAACATAGCTCCAGAACAGCCAAGAATATGTGGGCCACACCTATAATCCTAGCATTTGGGATCCTGGGGCAGAAGGATCTTGAATTTGCAGGCAGCATTTCAATAGTGTGGCCTTTCCAGCCATCATGTCACTCAACAAGCACATAGCCAGAGCAAGCAAGAGGTGGCAGATGGGATCCTGTCAGAGGTCTTGGCTCCTGCTGGCCTCCAAGTATAAGCATTTCATGATGCCAAATCTGGTCCTTGTGCTTAAATGGGTATTTCTCATGGTACATGACCTTCAAGTCAACCGACTACATCAACCAAAGGCAGGGTGATGTTCCAACACTGTATGACTGACTGTCAGGGGATACATAGGCCTGAACACCCTTTAGGATCTTTACTTTCTTGACTTTGGAACCTCTGGTCAAAAGATGATTAACAGGGGCTGGAGAGATGGCTCAGCAGTTAAGAGCACTGGCTGCTCTTCCAGAGGGACCTGAGCTCGATTCCCAGCAAACACATGGTGGCTCATAATCATCTACAGTGGGATCTGAGGTCTTCTTCTGGCATAAAAGCATACATGCATAAATAAATAAAAATATTTATAACAATTGAAGAATCACATTGAGATGATTAGTTATTTTTAACCTGGACTGAGTCACTAAAAGGTCTATTGGATAGTGACATAGACATCTTGCTGGTTAAACTGTGTGTAAATCACATCCAGAATGTATCACTAAAACAATGTTTGGGGCAGGGGCTGGAGAGACAGCTCCGTGGTAAAGAGCACTTTCTGTTGCAGAGGACCTGGGTTTAGTTCCCGGCACCCACATGGCAGCACCATCTGTAACTCTAGTTCCAGGAAGTCCCATACCTTCTTTTGGCCTCTGAGGGTACTAGGTACACATGTAATACACACACATAAGATGCAAGACACTCATAAATAAATCTACATTTTTTTCATTTTCCTCTTATTGGAAATAGATTCTTTTCTCATATAATATATCCTGATTGTAGTTTCTCCTCCCTCTACCCCTTCCAGTTTCCCACACCTCCCCCCCTCCAGATCCACTCCTTTTCTATCTCTTATTAGAAAAGAACAATTTTCCAAGAGATAACAACCAAAGCAAAATAAAATATAAGAAGATGAAGCAAAAACTATCTTAAAAATATGGAACGCTTCATGAATTCACATAGCATCCTTTCACAGGGGACATGCTAATCTTCTCTGAATTGTTCCAATTTTAGTGTATGTCCTTCCAAAGCAAGCACAGGTCTAAAGTTTTTAAAGAGACGGAGAGAACTTAACGCTCTTGCAGAGGGCTTGCTCTCTTTTCCAGTGCCCAGCTCACAATGAGCTTTAACTCCAGCTCGAGGGATCTGGTGCCCTCTTTGGCCTCCTCAGACACCTGCACTCACGTGCACACATCCCCTTACAGTTAACACACACAAACACACAGTTAAAATAAAATAAATCTGGGGGCTGGAGATGGTTTAGTGGTCAGGAACACTGGCTGCTCTTCCAGAGGACCCAGGTTCTATTCGCAGCACCTACAAGGTGGCTCATAACTCCAGTTACTTCCAACGGATCTGATGCCTTCTTTTTGAGTATAGGCATACATGCAAGCAGAACACTTATTCACATAAAAAAAACTTTTTAAAAAGACTGCTTGGAAATGAAGACTCAAAAAGATAATAATAAGCACAAAAACATTCAATTATAGGCAGGCTTGGTGCTTGGGATGCACAAAAATGAGCAAGCTGAGTAAGCCACAAATGGACTTAACAGGACTACGGTTTGCATGTAAAGGACTTGGTTTGAGCTCACTGATGACACTACAGTGTGTAAATGGAAGGGTTTCGCTTGGAGGTGGGTCGTGCTCAGTACTAGGTGTGTCCAGGAGCCCAGGGGCTGGGACCCAGGCCCTAGGAAAATAGCGCAGGTACCCCGCTGCTCTTCATAGTTAGGAAAGGAGACACTAATGTAATAAAGATGGTGACATACTCAGAGGGATCACCTACTTGGGAGATTAAGCCTACTCAGGGTGGTTTTGCAGAGCTAAATAAGAACGAATGTAAGAGAAGGTGGATTCTGCCCAGAATGGGGCTGTTTTAATGATTACAGCTGTTCAAATATGGAGCAGACTGCCTCTTGTGGCCTCCGCCACTTCCCAGGAGGCCTGCAGAGGGCTGAGAACTGGCCAGGCAGGCCTCCTCCTGCTTTTCTATCTGAATAGCTTTTTAATCTAACCTGCCTTTCAGTAACTGATGCCTCCAATGGTCTTCGATCATACCCCATCCTTCTGCATTGCGATTGCCCTTCCTCTTCTCATCCTGTCCTCAAGTGATTAATTAAGTGTGTGGCTATGAGCCCTGCTGGAGACAGAATGACCTTTCTTATTGAAGCCTTGCAACCAAGAAGTGAGCACAGCACTGTGCATAAAACAAACTGAGCCCCAAGTCTCTCGTCTTTCAAAAGGCACAGTTCTGTGTTGCTGTGGCTGGCCTGGAGTTCACTGTGTAGATCAGGTTAGTCCCAAACTCATATCCGCCTGCCTCGGCCTCCTGAGTGCTGGAATCAAGGGAATACTCCACCACACCCTTCCTGTTTCTTCTTTTTAACTGAGATAAATCCTTTGTTTATGTTTCTCCCAACTTTATTTCTAAATAAAAGTAACCAGGGATTCGTCTTGGGAGTCTGGGTTCATGATAAGTTTTGCCAACCTCTAAGCAAGGGGTCTAAGGGATACCAACAGACAGAGGAAACAAAGGCGTGTCTGGTATGCCTGGGGCCCATGATGAACTAAAACAAAAGCAAACTATTAGTTTAAGGAAACATTCCAGCCTTCAGTAAAAACAAACAAACAAACAAACACAAACTTGCAAAGAACATTCCAGAAGGGCGATGGAATGTGGCAGCAGTGGCTATGAGAATATAGGCCATTCTCATCTCTGTCAGTCCTATAATGTAGTTTTGCCTTCGTTTTGTTTTAAACCTACGTTCCATAGCCATTCCCATAAGGCAAGTGGTTCAGAGGCTGTCGGGTTTCTTGGTGAATGGAAATCAATGAACCGGAGTCCAGCAGACATTTAATGAGGCTTTCCTGATGGCCCAGCCCTTTGCAGGTTACTAATGGGTGGGACTCTCCTTCATTTAAATTGCAGGTACTCAATAAGTGATGAGCAGATGCTGGGGACAGACAAGACAGACAGGTCGTGTTCTAGGGGGAGCTCATACCTGGGTGTCCACGAGACACTAGGAGACAGGCGGTAAACAAAAACTACGGGTGCTGGGGGAGGGGGCCTTGAATAATGTGGTGGAGGGTACGCTGGGGAGGGGAGCTGCTTTAGACAGTAAAAGCATCCTTCAGGAGGGGACGGATAAATGGAGAAGAAGGCCTGAGGGAAGTACCAGGAACTCCTGGTGTAAGATGCAATTACAGCCCTGGGAGAGGGGGCTACAAAAAAACCAAAACAATACAAAACAAACTATTAGCCCCAAACTGAGAACTAGTGAACTTCTCAGTTTCCATACTGAGAAAGGGACGATCTTCCTGCCCTCAGTGCCTCTTGCCATTGGTGTGCAAAACACGAAGCTAGGCAGAACTGGAACACAGGTAGCCCGAAGACCCACCAGCTCTCCATCACCACATCCCCACCTCGCAGGCAGTCACCTGATGCTCCTCAAGCCTCTGTGACCTAACCAGTTTCCCCTTGCTTCCAGGGAGTGAGTGCATTGCTGTACACTAGAATTTTTGTTTGTTTGTTTCGTGTAGGGTTCTGTTGGTCCTTTTCCAAGTATCAATCAGAACTGCATGCCAGCCTCCACTCCTTGGAAATAATTAAATGAAATGACGTACTTGATTTTTTTTCAGTCGGGTAATGCACTGCAATTTGCATCTGTTGAAGGAATCTATCTTAAGTCTTGAGGAGGAGCCCTGTGGGACGACTCAAGTATTTGGTGTGTGTGTGTGAAGGGGTTAGTGTTGCTAAACACTCGAGTGGACGAAATGCTTTATTTCACAATCGATTCCCTTAAGGAAACTGCTCTTTGTGAAATTATTCGTAAATTCTATGCAAAGGTCCTATCCCCTGTTTAATATGACTTCCCACCTTCTTGTGCTCTTTAAATCTATTTTTTAGAAAAGGTCCAACATCGCGGGCTGGTTCTAAACTTAAATGCTCGAAGATGACCTTGAACTCTTGATCTTATTCCTGTGCGTGCTGAGATCACAGGGGGACATCACACTTGACTCAGTACTACATTTCCGCTAGACTCTTAACAGACCTAACGGACAGAGTAGATGATCTGTAGTTTAAGAATAGGTTTGAGATTGAAGGCTCCTTCTCTCCCATTGGGGAAGTGGAAGTCTGTATATAGCAGCCTTCATTTTAAAGCCAAAGCCAAGAACCTAGCATATGTTTAGCTATGACTTCTATGTAGACGTGTGTCAAAGGCTGTGTGTGTGGGTCACTAAAAACCAAATAAAACTTCCTTCTTCCTCCCCCAAGAGTAGGATTCCCTGTCGGGGGCACAGAATCCGCAGGGGAAGGAAAGGCTGGTGGTGTTGGCGTGCGAAGGAGATGGGGCTCTCGGCTGGGGGTGTGGGATGCGGTGTTCCCGGAGCGACAGATGAACGATTTTGGCTGTGTGGGAAGGGAACTGCGGAATTCCTCCCCCTTGCTTGCTGAGGGGGGGCTCTGAAGGAGACATTAGGATGCAGAGCACGGCTCGAGCTGTCCGGAGCGGAGGCGAGCCAAGGACACCCGTCCGAGCGCGTCTCGGTCGCCCGCGTTCCCGCACCTCCCTGCCACCGCGCGGCCCCAGGCGGCAGTCCCGCCAGCGGCGGGGCAACGAGCGCAGAGCGCCCACCGATCAGCTCCGCGTCCTACTCCCGCGCGCGGACCACGAGCGAAAGCCCGGACCAAGGAAAACACGGGCTCGATCTCAGCCCGCCCCGGCCGCAGCAAACAAACCGCGGATGCAGAGGCGGCCTGCGCGCACACACGCGCGCGCGGTCTCGATCCGGGTTACTGGGGGCGGCGCACGGGAGGGGGCGGGGCCTGCCGGCGGCGTGGGCGCGCAGTGCGCGCACGGGAGTGCGCCGGGGAGGGGGCGGGGCTGCGCCGCCCGCGCCGCGCTGGGCGCTCTCGGCCAATGAGCGGCGTCCACATGCCGCGGCGGCGGCGAGAGGGGGGAGGCAGCGGCGGATAAATGCTATTAGAGCAGCCGCCGCGGAGCCGTCCCCGACGCCACCTCCCGTCTCCTCCGCCGCAGTTTCCTCCGCCGCTGTCGGGGGTGCAGAGCTGAGGAGCTCGTGCAAGGCGCGCCGCGCAGCTCCTCTCCGGCCGCCTGCCTCGCTGTCGTCCGCGCCGAGGGCTCGGCCGGGCGCCCCTCCTCAGCCGCGCCGGGTCTCCTCAGGCAGCGCCGCGGCCTGCGCTGTCTGCAGCCGGCTGGCAGCTGAGGCGGCGCACCCTCGCGGCGCGGCGGGAGGCTCGCAGCCCCTCGGGTGGGCTCGGCGAGGCCGGGCCGCGTGCGGCGGTTTCTGGGGGAGGGGGCTCGGGTGATTCAGCGCCCGGTCAGGCGGAAGCGGCCGCAGCCGCGGAGGAGGAGAAAGAGGAGGGGACAGCTGTCCGCGCCCGGGCGCCCGCGGTGGCACGAGCCCGCGGCCCGAGTGCGAGGCGGAGGCGAGGAGGCCGCGGGGACGCGAGGCGAGGCCGGCCGGGGCCCCCGCAGCCATGGAGAACGCTCACACAAAGACGGTGGAGGAGGTGCTGGGCCACTTTGGCGTCAACGAGAGCACGGGGCTTAGCCTGGAGCAGGTCAAGAAGCTCAAGGAGAGATGGGGCTCCAACGGTAGGTGCGGGGCGCCGGGGCTGCAGCGGCGCGGCGCGGGCCCGAGCGCCAAGGAAGATGGCTGACCCGGCTCCACCTCGTGGGGCTCGGCCCGGCTCGGCGCCCGACGGCTGCGAGAGGCCGGACGGTCTGACCGCACGCGCGTCCGGGCCTTTCCCGACCTCCAGGGGTCTCGAGCCGATGACCTTTCTGGAGCGCAGCGAGCCGGGGCGGGGGTGGGGGGGAAGGCCCCTGCGGCTGGGCTGAGTCCCCCGTGGATTTATGAGGCGTCGATGTAGTTGAGAAAGCCTCAGACCGTCCCTTGTACTCTCCAAAGTTACACATCTGGCAGAAATGATGACCCAGCCGAAACGGCTGCATGGTCCGGGAGGCCCGAGTGAGCTTACGGGCAGGACCGTGGCCATTGATTACCGGG